AAATTAAAAAGTGAATATAGGAAATTGTCGTCTTGGACAAGTAATATCTCTCCATCTCTCCATCTCTCTGTCACACACACCCACACCCACACACCCCCCTCACCCACCCATACACACGCTCTCAAAACTTAAAACAACACCCTATGTTTCACGGACTTGGTGCGAGTGTCCATTGGAGGTATGTACCTAGACACTGGACTCATCTAATCTAAAGGACTTGCACACTATGACAAAATATTTGTATTTTACATATTTTTTCGCATTATAGTGATAAAATAGTGTTCTATGTTGTAGTTTCCAAAATAGTCAATTCATTGCTTATGACTAAAGGAACACATTAAATAGTACAAATGCAAAATATCTTTAACCTAATGAGAAGTATCAGACGAATGTCTCATACCTTTATTGTGTTCATGGTCAACAGAGCACAATTAGATTGTGAAAGTTCAAAATAAGAAGAATTTTGTGTTTATTTTCATTAATAAGAAGAACTTGAACTACTAAAACAGATAAACTAGCAAATGGTTGAGATTCTATGAAAAGTAGATGCATACATACAATACTCTTGAGCAATTACTTGTGGGACTTTAACACCTTCGGGTGGCTTAACAGGATGAAAAGAATGGCATCATTACAGAATGAATAAACTGCAACTAGATTGACATATATTAATTTTTTACAATGCTCAATCTTTAAAAATTGAAAATCAAATATTCAAATTGATAATCTCTAGTTAGTTTATTCGAAGCAACCTAATCTAATTATCTTACATCGTCGAGCTATCAAGTCTCTAATCTTCTCTTTCTCAATTCATTTCGGTTAGTGTTTGGGCTACTTCATTTCTTTTCGTATCATGCATCCTTATGTCAGTGAGAGTTTTTAATTGTGAATCCAACTCCTCCAAGCATAAGTTGCTTTAAGACTTTATGGAAATAAATATTATGTACAATTATTTTGGATTATCTTGGTTTGGACTTTTATCCTCTTTTCAAGAGCATTATATTACTTGAGCTACTATGAATATAAAGACTTGTCTATAAAATTGTCTTTGCAATAATAATAGATGACATATAAATTCAAATGGTTCATTTGCGTGAGTGCACCAATTAGTAACATTCAAATATCTACGTCCAACTAAACATTTAAACATGTTTCAAAATTTAACCATTCATAAGCAGTATGCAGACTTGTTGGTGCAGTTGCCTAATTCTTTCAAATTTTGTTTTAAAAAAGGTTGAACAAATTATTAGAGCTTTTCTGTGGTCTATTATTGAGCTAAAAACTTATTCTGTTGATGTAGCCTGGGAAAAAGTTACAAAACCAAAGGAGGGAGGACTTGGGATGAAGAAAATTACTGAGTGGAACAAAGCTTTGATGATAAAGCATATTTGAAATCTCTTTACAGATGATAGTAGTATATGGACTCAATGGATCAAGGCTTAATAATTGAAAGTTAAGAGTTTGTGAGAAGTTAAAATTCCAAATACATGTTCTTGGTTTGGATGAAGATTCTGAAGCTTAGGTATAGTACTAGACCTTCTATTAAGCATATCATAGATGATGGAAATAAGATCAAACTATGGTTTGATGATTGGCGACCTCTTGGACCTCTGATTTCTAGATGGTTTGGGAGAGTGATTTATGGTTCTGAGTTATCCAAGGATTCTATGGTTAGTTCTGTTATTCATGGTGATTAACGGTATTGACATTTTATTAACTCTAATGCTTTAAGAAGTATTCAATTGGAAATGTCTCTGTATCTAACTTGTAGTGAAAGAACAGATTAAATATTGTGGTCTTCATCTATAAATGGTAAGTTCTGTGTTGATACAGTTTGGAATTCCATTAGAGCTCATAATCTCAATGTTGATTGGTATCATTTACCTTGGTTTGGAAAAGTTGTTACCTAGTGGAGTTTTATATTATGGTTTCCAATTACAAAGAAATTCCGAACTAGAGATAGACTTCAAGAGTTCCATAGGAGTATAGATATTACATGTATACTCTGCATTGAGGCTCTTGAAGACCATTTATTCATTTGTATTTTTGTTGCTCCTACTCTTCTAGAATTTTGATGGCAGTATTATAAAAGTGTGATGTTATATTTTAGTCAACATCTTGAGATGAGATGGTAAATGAAGCTGTTATCAAATGGAGGGGGAAAGCATTACAAAATACTATTGCAAAGTTCTGTTTATTTGCAACAGTGTACTACATTGACGTGAAAGAAATTCGACATTTGTACAAAATTGAGGATTATTAATAACATGATTTCATATGGGGATTCTCTTTGAAGATTTCAAAATTTTCCTCGGCGGGACGTATTATGGGGATTTGGAGTGTTAATGGGTAGTTTTGAGAAATGAATTGTTGGAAATTTGTATTGTTGTTTGAGAAGTGAGGTGTGCAGCTCAAACCTTATGGTAGAAGTTTTAGCACTAAGTTTTACTCAATGTGTTTGATCATTCTGTTTTACTGAATGTATCCCTAATTAGGGGTTTCTTTTTTTGTTATTTTTCCCCTTTCGCTGTAAAACTTTCACTCATATCAAATAAAATTTGTTTATTTACCAAAAAAAAAATTCAACAACTCCTCAAGAATTTGCAATTGACCACTTCAATGTCTATGCAATTTGGGTTTCAATGCATGTACAATATGGCCAGAAACATCTAACTAAATATACACATGGAATGCCAAACAAATATTAGTTGATATAAATCACGAGAATAAGCTAGGTATTCCACTCAAATAACTGCTGTTCACTTTTTAAGAACTTATGAAAAATATCTTGCGTCAATCATAATCTTCTATTTTTTAAAATATTCTCATTTCATACTGTGTTAGCATAGAATGTGAGATACATAGATAGAGAGCTAACCGAGAACGGCCGAGTGATATCAACTTTCCACGCCCGTGCCGGTGTGGGGTTACGTCTTTTGAGCTTGTGTTGTGTAGTAAGATTGACAGAAAAGAGGGAAGAGAGAGGAGAGAGGAGAGAGGAGAGAAGAAAGAGAGGGACACTAGGATAAAAAAAGGTTGTATTTCGTAATGGAAGGGGAATTGCACTTTCTACCCAAAAAGGTTTAAGAATTTTTATTTTATTGCATTTTCAAAAATTAAATTTCTTACCTTCCATCCTCAATGTATTAAAAATTATTGCATTGTGGCCCTTTTTATTTTGTTAACTTCAGTTGTTTATTATGTCAAAAATCATCCCATTGCAATTGGCGAAATGAGTAACAGAAAGACCGCATTGTAATATTTTCAATACATTCAGAGTAGGTTTGTCAATCGTGTCAAGTGAGGTGGGTTCATGTCGTGTATTAAACGTATATAATTGGTATATGAATGAGCCGTGTTGTGTATTTCTTCTAATTGATTTCACTCATACTAAATTCGTTTATTAATCGTGTTGTGTTGGCACCACTTGCTTATTAAATGGGTGGTTTAAGGAAGACCTAAATGATCTAATTTTATGTCATGTTTAACGGGTCGTATCATATTTTGACACCCTTAATTCATGGTGTAATGTAAAAAATTTAATAGTCGAGAGTGTAAAGTGAGAATTCTAAAATTTTTTAGGGTGTTAAATAAAATTCACCCAAAACATTATCATCAAAATTGGATTAGACCGACTAGTCAATCTGGTAAATCAAACCCTACATCAGATAGATTCTGCTATTAGAATGTGTGAGCACATAAGTCTTTAAAAGGGCCGATGATAGCTTAAACCAACAAAGAAATATTAAATTGGTTTTGGACCCGAAAGTCTAACCCATTAATCTCATATAAAAACATTTGAAAAAACAAATTAAAATAATCTTAAAAATTTTAAATCTTCCATTCAAATTACCCATCAAATCACTCTCATTGTCCAATCTCTCTCTCTCTCACACATACATACACACATTTTTATCCTAATTTAAAAACCAACCAAATACATATAACACAAAAGACAAAAAACAAAAAATTTAAAATTTAAAATAATTCTTGAAAAATAAAAGGCCTTATTCATATATGTCAAGGTCGAGAGAGTCACTCCGATAAGACAAAAGAAGAGAGAGAATTGATAGAAAAGATAGGAGAGAGATTAATTGGTATACCAAAGGTACGTTGAAAAATATTAATTTAGAATGGACTAGAGAATACAAAAGACCACTTTGACACGTTCAAAAGTGTCTTATTTGGACTTAATAACTTGAAAAAACATTTGATTGGACTTTTAAACAATTCTCATTAATGACTACTACACAATGATTCTGTGCTGTCAAAGAAACTGCTACTATTAAGAGGATTTATTGTAATTGAATGCAAAAATTGGGAACTTTGTTTAATCAAATGAGCAAACGTTTCATATTCACAGAAAACCAAATGCTTTTTAGCAGTGAATGGTCCACAGTTCAAACTCATCGCAAGCTAGCATTGACATGAAAAAATTCACTGAATAAACAATGAAAAATACTAGTAGAGGACAGGCCTTGGTGTAGGTATACGAATGCTCGATTTTGATCAGTGAGTCAAAGATTTGATTCATGGAAACATCCTATCCTAACTACCGGATAAAATTAAGAATGTTAAAATATATTACGACTTGTTAACACGGCATGAAATTAGAAGATTTAAATTTTTATTAGGCTACCTATTTAATAAACGAATTGAATATGACTGTATGAGTGAATTAATTCAAAAAAAATACACGACAAGACTCGGTATATATACCGATTATATACGACACAATTTGTTAAATATAAAATAATAACGAATTAAATATGAATGAAATATTCTTAATACGAACCCGTTAAGACTCAATACGAATACATATCACCCCACATGTACGCGTATCTAGGTAAAATTAATTGTAATAATCTCATATATTGGGCTACCTTTTTTTATAGCAAGGATACATTAAAATTCAACCCCGAAAATGGGAACTTTCTTCAATTAGACGGGCACATGTTTCATTTTCACAACCTAAAACGGATTGAGCATTAGTATTGTTGTCATTCAAATGATAATATCAACTCATGAAAGTAGGGTTGAGGTAGAAAAATTCTCTTGGTGACTATGTTTTCCATTGTATTATCTGCAAATGCAAATCCTTGAAGGAACCTTGGGGTTGGATGCAAGCCCACTTCTAAAACTCCCTCTAGAATCATAACTACCTGCCCCATAGTTGGCCTATCCTTCTCATCATCTTGAATGCACCAACAAGCAACTTTGCAAGCTCTTGCGAGCTCTTCTACATCAGCATTACCATCCAATTTTCGATCCAAAAAGGTCAGTACTTCTTCACCTCCATTCATTTTATTCGCAACAAACCCGGACAAACCCGGCCGAGAAAGTATTAGTCCGTCCCATCATTTGAAAACATATGCTTTCGGTGTGATAGCTTCGCCTGAAATCCATTCCGGGGCAAGATATCTTATGGTTCCTCTTATGGTTGTCAAAACATGGCTAAATTCTAGGCCTAGTAGCTCTGCAAGGCCAAAATCAGCCACTTTGGCGTTGTAATCAGCATCCAGTAATATGTTCTCGGGCTTAATGTCACAATATATGATACAATCCCTGCACTTGTCGTGGAGATAAGCCAATCCTTGGGCAGTCCCAACTGCAATGTTATACCACGTTTTCCAGTCTAAAACACCTGAATCTTTCCAAAACAAGTGTGATTCTAGAGAACCATTTGACATGTAGTCAAAGACTAGAAATCTTTCCATACCTTTGATGCAAAAACCACGTAGACGGACAAGGTTAATATGTTGGATCATACCTATTGTCCTCAATTCTGCGCGGAACTGCTTCTCTCCTTGCTTCATGTTTTTAAGTCACTTCACAGCTATGGCAACAGAGTTTGGTAGTGTCCCTCTGAAAACAGAACCAAAACCGCCTTCCCCAAGTTTTTCTGAGGAATTCTTTGTTGCCCTTTTTATATCCCTGTGCTTGAACAGCACCAAAGAATCATCAACTGTCTCAGATGTGTCCGTTGCACGCCTTCTCCATATTGTTACAATTACAATGCCAAAGACAGCAAAGAAGCCTCCAACTGCACCAACAACGATCCAAGCATTTTTAGCAGTCATTTTCTTTTTCTTGGCTGTTCTTCTTCCCACCAGCTCGGATGCTGCAATTCTTACATAGATATCCCTTCCGATGTAATCATCCGATTATTCATTATCATAAGCATAAGCAGAGCAAGAACAGATCCTTGAGCAAGCTGATTCGCATTGTTCAATGTTCCCTAGTGTCAATGACTCTGCATTCAATGGAAAACGCGTGTTTTGAATCACGAAGAACTTGTCATTTCCTCCCTCATTGCATTGCAAAGGAGTTCTGCTCACACAACCCTCTATGTGATTTTCCAATTCCCAATCTTCAATGATCTCGGTTCAAATCCTTGCACACAATTGCAAAGAGGGTCACTCCTGGTAGCAGCTACTAAATGCACCACAGAAGGCATAAACTTGGCATTGTAGAGGTGGTTGACTCCAATACTCGCTCCAACCTGTGCAGAACTTCCCCCAAATGAATTGCCGGAGCTGGCCACCAGAATCAATCACAAATCTAGTGAGAGTAGTAGGGAAACCAGCCTCATAGGTGAAGAAGCTCTCATTCTCATTAGACTCATGTGAGGTTTCTTATATGCCAGGATGAAACTTAATTTAGATACAGGTTATTTGATATTGTGTGGCAGTGTTTGAATTTTGAAGTCAACTGATAGTTTCAGGGAAAGATGGAAAGAAGATAAAGGGTGCTCCAGTATCTGACTTTATTGCCAAGAATAGACAGTAGATGGAGAAGAATTCCAAATTTGCCGCTATTTTGGAATACAAATAAAATGAAACAAAAAGGCTAGGAAACAGATAACCAATTGACATAGTGGGTAGACATAGTCAAGAGGACCCAAATGACAAGTTGTGAGTTGAGTTCGGAAATTAACTTTCCTAAAATGAAAGTAAGATTGTCTACCACTTACCCTTCAAAGATTCAGCTATAGCTGAAAGTCTGGTATCTACTGGCAAGACATTCAAAATAACTTGTTATCTACTGGCTTATGATTGCAAAATAATGACTTAAAGGCTCAACTTCGAACTTATCCAATACAAAAAGGCCCAATCTCCAGTCTCTAATTGGAATTCCATAGCAAAATCAAATGGATAGGATATTACAGTCAATTCAACTTAACCCCTGGATCACCATGTAACATGGACCAAACAATGTTATCATGCATAAGACTTCCATGTATAACAGAATCTGAAAGAAAAGTTATAACACTTGTTGGACTTTGTAGAGGTTATTTCCTGAACTCATACAAGCTTGTGAGATCTACAAGTAATTATTGGCCTTTCTATTTCTAACCATAGTTTTTTTTCTTCTTTTTGCAAGCCAAAGGACAAAGGTGCATCGTTTAGACAAATCTGTGAATTTAGACTACAGACCCCACATTACCAAGCCAAGATCATACTTGCACTGGATATCATCTCCACCTCAAATTAATGAATGCTTGGAATCAAATTTCTGACTTCCGTAGTCAACCAAGCTCCTCCACAAAAGGTTAGAGATAGAACTCAACAAAGTCAAAGATAATGTCTTGCTTGACTTTTGTCTTCCAAAACAAACACAAAAGTCCATCATTTGGACGCCCTCCCACTTAAACACACAACTTTCCCTGGACTTGTCCCACCAGATGAGTGATGTGGCTTCGAGTCTCATCCATGAAGTTATTCCCACCTCGTGTGATACACAGAATGAATACCAATAATTCCTCGATGTGGACTAGAGAAGCTTACACAATTATTTGCATGTGAGTTAAAGGAATGTGAAGCTATATTATTCCCATGAGAAGTTAATTACAGCAGTTTCTAACGGAATATAAGTCATAACGTCCTTGCTAATGGAAGATGACAAAGTACAGCCATTGATAGTTTAACTTAGGATGCTCTGCATGAAGGGGCAAAACCAAAGAAATCTTTCTTGCCAAAGACCAAACAAAAGACCCAACATTAGCACATAAGATTGGAAAGAACTGAGAATCACATTTCTTAGATCACAAGTTTTAAAACCAGGTATCATTTGATGTTGGCTGTCAATCTTACACGATGCTCTTCTCTTTCAGTTTGGTGACCCAGACACCAACTTATCTTACAAAATATGGGGGAAGACGTGGGATTCCTTTCAAGATCCTATACAATCAGCTGTCACAAGTTACATTATTTACGGTGATCCACATCTTGATGATATGTTTAATCTTCAGAAATTAAGAAAAACACAAAAAAGTCATTCAGTTTCACCAGGCCATCAATAATCCCCCCAGTGATCCTATCCATATTCACCATCTTTATTGAGATCTATTGTTGCAAAAAGTGAAGTATGCCCTTGAAATGAAATGAATTGAATTGTTCAATAAAATCATGTCCTTCCACTAACAAAAACCACATTCTATGATCAAAACATGGATCAATAAATTATTTTAGTTAGCTTAATCATAAGAACACCTCACTATTCAGTATGAGTGACTGGTGAGAAATGGAACCACTTGCACAGCATTCGTGTGTCATTCAGATAGAGGATGGCAACCACTCAAGTGTTACACCAGCAAACATTGGAATAATATTCCCAGATGCATATGGAAATGATTCGGGTACCTTCCATGGGTTCTTGTTCAATTTAATTTTTGATGTGTTTCTCGGAAGCCCATAGAAGTCTGGCCCATTAAAGCTTGTAAATGCTTCTAGCTTGTCAAGTGCACCAGCCTAAACAAACACAAATTCTTAACATTGCTGGTATGAAAAAATTAGTAGTCAAGCATGTTGTTGCATTTCATTGACATTCAAAGTTGGAAACATATTACAAACCTGTGGCCAAACAACAAAATTAAGCTTTGTTCAAATTAACCAGGAAATGCACACATGATCATATCAATCAACAATAACAAAAAATTGCAGGAACATTAGTGGTTACAAATAGCTATTGCATCTGACAGAATTTTCATTCAAAAATTTATCTCCCTGCTGCTGGAACTTAGTGCCAGACCATTGGAAAAGGAGATACTATCAAAAACATTCTGAGGAGTAAATCAACAAAGCTCTATGGTTTCAAAAACTGCACATAGTCAAAAACATGATTTTTGGGTTGGCAAATTTGAAATTGACCACACTGGAAACTCTCAGATTATCTAATATTAGCAATACAGGTCAACTGCTCGGAAGGTCCCTGACAAATCAAGTCAGTCAGAGCCTATGACTCTTGATCCCAAAACAAGCTATCTTATAGAAGACAACCAACACAAGCCTACTCAACAAATCTCATAAGGCCTGTTCGCATTGCAACTAATAGAAAAAAATGACTACTAGACTAGACTAGTAGTGGAGTGCTCTTTGTTGTTCGGATCCAAGAATACTGCTACTAAGAAAATGAGAGAGGTGTTCCAAGAATGGGAAGGAGGAGAATATCCTCAAAGTCGCAGTTGTGCACACCCCCTAATTCCACGCGTGTATATATATGGTGGATTGGTGGGACTTGTTTTACTTTTCTTTTCTGTTGGGGGTGGTGATAAGAGTTTCATTCTCCATAAAACTACATGCACCAAATTTCCTACACCAAATGATGTGGCTCAATCAGAGTCATTTTATGTTTAGTGGTAGTCAGTGAGACCCAATAATGCAACACATTGATTTGGAGAAAAAAAATTGGTAAAATATTTGGTGAGTGTAACATTGTTTTTTCATTATTGATCAAGAGTAAGTGCCCATATAACATACAACTGGTCAATGTGGATATTCCTTTTCTAGTATTGCTGGGCCAATTGTCTTTTTGACTCAAACACTTGCAAACTCATCTTTTACTTTTAAGCATTCTGGTTATTAAGTGCAATTACCAAACAAAATTATCAGATGAGCTAAAAGTGATGCAAAATGAAAAGCTAATGATAGTTAGACAGAAACTACCTCTTCAAAAACCTTGGTATAGAGTGACAAGGCAACAGGAGCATTGTAGATTCCGGCACATCCACAAGGACATTCCTTTTTTCGTCTCTCGTGAGGAGCACTATCAGTTCCAAGGAAAAATCTTTTACTTCCACTAGTCACAGCAGAGACAATAGCCTGTCCTAGATGAGGAACAAATGAACAGATTCAGACTCCAAGACAATTGAGAGAGAGACAGAAATATTGCATGAAAATCATCCATAAAAGGGAAAATTATATAGGACTTATTTACTCTTTTGAACATGGAAAAATTTCCGATTTTTTAACTACACAACATCACTCACATTTGTTGTCTACAGTTATAGAATTAGAATGTTTCCGGTTAATGCTAAGATGCCATGCCATGCTTATTTCCCTTTATTCTTTTACAGATACTGTTTTACCTCCAAAAGTCCATTCTTTATTTTTTCATGGTATTTTAAGTCTTTGCAGAATATTGTCAGAGCCAAAGCCTTTCTACCTTCTTTCAGGAAGTATCTCATAATCAAACCACTGCCAGCATTAATAGGAGAATATTGCTAAACTAAATACATGTAATTTATCTTAGGAGATGGTCCACAACTTCCAATCAGCACTGTTAGATCACTATTTACTGACTCGAAAGCACAAGTACTTTTGTAGAGCAAAATTAAGCCCTCAAACGTTTTCGGGCAGTGTTTACCACTGATTGATAATGATATTACAAGCATGAAAGATAGAAAATTCCCATTATTATGCACTAGCCAAGTGCTTATTTTCAAGACAAATACATAATTCTACCTTATTTTCTGTGGGTCAAACCAAAGGATCAAAAGTATATTTTGATGCATAGTTTCAGTCACCTAGGAAACATAAACTTTTCAAAAATAAATTTTCATAAAACATCTCGAAACATTCCAAAACACCTCAAAACAATAAGAGTTTTGCCATTTAATCAACCATTTGTTTTGGCTTCCATGGAAACAGAAATATTTTAACTATTTCAAAACAAAATTTTCATCCTTGGTTCAAAGCGAGAACCACATCTCAAACCAGGTCATTGTCAATAGACATTCATTAGTGCTGAACTAGTAGATGAAACAATCAAGTGTAGGCTGACATTTAAACTCATTACCGATAAAAATGCATATTTAATACAGGTCAAATCTATTACTAAACAATGGCATCCCCAAGGCACTGAAAATAATAATAAAGCGAACAGAAAACACCTCCAAGGATCAAGTAGACCTGGTTCATCTGACCACTATACTGGGGGAATAATCAATTCGAACTGAGAAATGTAAGGATACATTATGTAAATACTAAGTGATGATTTCTCCACTAAAGTCCACAACAAGGAGCCATGGAACCAAGGGCAAATACCCAATAGCATGCACTGTGTCTCTTTGCAATAATTAACAGGCAAGGCCGATTGTGTCCTAAAATATCAGGTTTCTTGCAGTAAATGCCAACTAAAGAAAAGCCTGTAACTAAAAGATGACAGAGCATACAGAGCATGCAAANCATGCACTGTGTCTCTTTGCAATAATTAACAGGCATGGCCGATTGTGTCCTAAAATATCAGGTTTCTTGCAGTAAATGCCAACTAAAGAAAAGCCTGTAACTAAAAGATGACAGAGCATGCAAAAGAAAGAACATACTGTGTATTTCTCTTTTGAGTACTGGAAGGCAGTAATTGTGTGGCTGCAATCCTCCTTGAAAGAGGGAATTTCTATTGAGAAGAAGATGCTGAGGGGTAACAGTTGCTGCAACAAATCCTAACAAATAAAACTGAAATAAGACAAAATGTATACCTCAAAAATACATGGGAAAAAACCTGTTTGCTTTAAACGAGGGAAAAAGTAAAAAACAAAGATGACTAATAGAGAATATAAGACCATAGAAGTACCTTCATTGCAAGACTCAACAAACCTAACAGCATCCATAGTAGTAACATGCTCCATCACAACCTTCAGAAGTGGAAGCTTCTGTATTAAGGGCTGTAAAACTGTGGCAATAAATACTTTTTCCCGATCAAATACATCAACCTCAGGATCAGTAACCTCCCCATGAACCTGTAGAGAAAATATCAAACACATAAATTACACTCAATTAGGGGTCACGCTNCTGTATTAAGGGCTGTAAAACTGTGGCAATAAATACTTTTTCCCGATCAAATACATCGACCTCAGGATCAGTAACCTCCCCATGAACCTGTAGAGAAAATATCAAACACATAAATTACACTCAATTAGGGGTCACGCTATAAATTTACGTTAGAGGGGGCAAATTTTCACAATAACAAGGAAAAAATAGAACTTATATTTAATACATTAAATATTAATTAATAATTACTAATACTTTTGTTCAATACATTTACAATTATTCACAACTAGTTTTCATATTTTGAAAATATTCCATGATAATCTCATTATCAACGTCATTAATTTTTTTTTTCTCAATAGAGTAATGTTAGTTGGACCATGGTTCAAGGTCGCAACATTGGCCATAGACTTGGAGAATATTGAGACACATCGGTCGAGGTGTCGTGGTCAGGTCTGAAAAATTCTAAGAAAATTTCTTTAAAAATGTAAATAGCAAATCCATGCATCATATGTCCAAAGTACTTCATTAAGCACATCAAACACAGTGAAAATTGGATGTAAAGGTGCTACTAGAAATACATTAATAAAGACTAATGCTAGTTGACCCTAATTTGGGAATATAATCCATAATTACACCATAAAGTTAAAAATAAACCCTAGTTGATTCGTAAAATATACCAATTTAATGCAATAGAATAATAATGAGTTAATAAATAGAGAAACTATTATAGCCACATTGCATAATGAAGTATCCAAGAAAAATTAAAATACAATACATTAGTCAACAACCTATAAGTTAAAAATACTAGGAAAGTAAATTTTGAAGGGTGATTGGTAGAAAAAAGAAAGAAATGGAAAAGTAAACTCCAGATCTGATGCTTATGCACAGTTTTTGTGCAAACACTAATACACTACAAAATTAAAGTTGGTGAAATTACCAGCAGAGGCATATTATGCTCAACCATTTCCTCAAGCACAGGTAGACATTTCCCGAATAGGTCTGTAACACCATCCTGAGAATTTGTTGTGGCTCCGGCAGGGTACAGTTTTACAGCAAATACAACCCCACTCTCTCCTGTCACAGAAGTTTCACTAAAACAAACATAGAGAAATAGGACGAAAAAGAATCAACCAAAATTAATGTTGATAAAACTTACTAAGTTAGCTCCAATTATTCACTCTTGATTGGTTTCCTGCAAACCCTTCTTAGAGAGTAAGCAAGTTCATTTCCATTTAGATCCAACTCTCTATCTATTTATTTTTCAAGAAAAGCCTTCTTAAGAAGGAGGAATTTCGCATGAACCTTATTTGGGATTGCCAGAGATATGGAAAGGAGTAAACCAATATGCAGGTCACGAAACTAGATAACCATATAAATCTCCATGCACAATCCATTCAAATAGAAGTGATTGATGGCTATCATGATGCCATAGAAGTTAACAACATCATAAATTCTTTCTGCAATGAATTAGGTCCAACCCTTCAAGCTTAGGAACATTTTCCCAATTCCCACAATACCAGTTCTAGAGTTGTCGTTCCATTAAGAGAGAGAAAACATTATCAACCATTATAATTTGACAGCATTGAAATATCAAATGACAAATCAATAGCAAGACCAAGAATTTCATGCAAACATGGAGAGTTGTTTTAATTTTTAAACCATTTCTAATCTTAACAATTATTATCTTTTGCGCATAAATTTTAAGAGTCCATTGAAATAAATCTACTATATTATTACAAATACTAGTGGTGGATTTCACAATTAATTATGTCATGGAAATCATTAACATGCAGTAAAGTCTACATAGACATATTTCCTCATTTTAACGGAATATGCCTTCCTATTCCATTATGACATCCTATGATGCTAAATTTACGTGCCTATGCAATCATTCCTTGTGCTTGTGTATTTATAAAGAAAACAAAGATAAAATACATAAAACTACAACAAATAACATCAATTGAGCTTCAATCGCAACATGCTAAGTTCAATCTGATACTCAAGTACACTTATGAATCATAACAAACTAAAAGGCTCACAGATGGAAAATCGTATATTGAACTCACTTGCTAGCTTGATCTCATGAGGGCTTGTTGTGTCCGTTAAATAAAGTGTCATAAGAGGATTGAAGACACTGCTACCAGGCAATGCTTTCAGGATGGATTCCCGGTATGCCACAGCAGCAGCTGTGGTGGTGATAGGAGGTTTCAAATTTGGCATGACTATTGCCCTTCCAAAATGATGTGCACTGTAAAAATTATTATCAGATAAAGTAGCAAATAAAACCACTTACAGCGCAAAACAACACGACCAAATCTAATTACAGGAAACAAGACTACTGAATCTAAGCCATATTAAATTCAAGAAACTTGGTCGGAACTGAATGAGCGTCAATATTTTAAGATCGTTATAATAAACGTAATTTTAAAAAATGACCTGTGAGAAACAACAGCTTCAAGAAGGTCACCATCACGGAGATGAAGATGCCAATCATCAGGTCGGGTTATAGAGAGCTCCATCTTTGCACTACTGGATTTTACTTCTTTAACCCTTCCAGTTTTCGCTAAAGGTAATATTGACACCTATATCAAGACAAGATTATGATAATATAGAGANCCAGTTTTCGCTAAAGGTAATATTGACACCTATATCAAGACAAGATTATGATAATATAGAGATAATAATTCTTCATAATGCTATTGTAACTAGGGTGGTGGAAGTTTCGGACAGTCGGCCACACTCATCATACATTGAATCTTGGATAGTGTTGAAAAGCATGTTCTTGAAACATCAAGTTCATAGAGCACTGGAATATGTAATNAAGAGGATTGAAGACACTGCTACCAGGCAATGCTTTCAGGATGGATTCCCGGTATGCCACAGCAGCAGCTGTGGTGGTGATAGGAGGTTTCAAATTTGGCATGACTATTGCCCTTCCAAAATGATGTGCACTGTAAAAATTATTATCAGATAAAGTAGCAAATAAAACCACTTACAGCGCAAAACAACACGACCAAATCTAATTACAGGAAACAAGACTACTGAATCTAAGCCATATTAAATTCAAGAAACTTGGTCGGAACTGAATGAGCGTCAATATTTTAAGATCGTTATAATAAACGTAATTTTAAAAAATGACCTGTGAGAAACAACAGCTTCAAGAAGGTCACCATCACGGAGATGAAGATGCCAATCATCAGGTCGGGTTATAGAGAGCTCCATCTTTGCACTACTGGATTTTACTTCTTTAACCCTTCCAGTTTTCGCTAAAGGTAATATTGACACCTATATCAAGACAAGATTATGATAATATAGAGATAATAATTCTTCATAATGCTATTGTAACTAGGGTGGTGGAAGTTTCGGACAGTCGGCCACACTCATCATACATTGAATCTTGGATAGTGTTGAAAAGCATGTTCTTGAAACATCAAGTTCATAGAGCACTGGAATATGTAACAACAATAGTAAAAACTAACAATAATCTAACTCAAAATAAAAACTTCAGTTATAGACTCTCAATATAATTTCATTGCTACAAAGCTGGGAAAAGATCTTCCCCAATATTCTATCTAAACAATCAGTAACACAGAAAAAATCTTATGTTATTCCATTCTTTTATGTTAAATATTTTGAGTGCAAAATGCAATGGAGCATGTGAACGAGCATGAAAATTTTCCTCCTTACATTTAAAATTTGCCAATCTTCACACCTAAAATCCAAACAATTCATACCACTTTTGTCATCCTGTGATACACTGCAATCCACTGCACAACACTTTCATTTGAAATTTACGTCAGGTACTTGGCTCAATATGTTTCTTAACCAGAGACGCAGTTAAAAGGTTGGGGGACACTTGCCTCCTGACTTTTGAATTGCTCCAACTTGTGTGATGTTAAGAAATCATGATTTTGTTCAATTTAATACATTGTAGAGTGGTCGAATTCTTTTGTTCTTTTCAATTAGCCAGTGGCCAATTGCCCCCCAACCCCCAACCCAAAAACAAATGTTATATTTTTGCACTGAGTAAAACACATGTTAATACCTCATCTACATACATACATATACGTATCTATCTATGTATATAAAAAAAACATTTTTTTTGGGTGAGAGGGTTTGAGAAGTCTTTCCCAAATGCTTAATTTTTAAAAAATTGAAATATTTAATTACCCCCATCCAATCAAATTATTCCATTCAACTTCCTTAAAAACTCTCTCCACCTTTTGTAACTACTTTCACTTTGTTTTTAAACTTTTTCAATTCTAAATTTTCACTCGTTTTTCTTCACTTTTTCATATTTAACAAAAAATTATTTTAAGTCATTAATGAGTAATTTTCGTAAGATGAGGAACAGAAAAGGGTGATGGCAGGGAGACAACTTTTGTGCATCACACGGAGCGCCCGTTAGAGAGTGTGTGTGTGTGGGTATATATATATAGCATGAGAGAGACCAAAGAAAATCTCTTTTATCTAATACATTACTCCATTTTTTTTCAAAAAATTGTAAAATGGTCCCCGACTCTTTTGAAATGAATTACCTGTTGTAACCCTGTAACACACAATTAAATATACAAGATAAATGCACCACGCCAAAAGTAAAGTCTACTCTTCTAAAGAATCAACTTCTGAACAAGAAGCAAGATAATCCCAATTAGGCTTCTTAAGAAAATGAAAGATAATTTTGTCACAGACTCTGTGGGACATTGCTAATAAATTATTTTGTGCCTTTTTTGTTTAGACTTTGCTAAGGCCACAAGGAAATCGGTTTTATGTTTTATGCAATAATTCGCTATTGAATGTTAATGTATTTCTCATGCTTGAACTTGGAATTTGTTTTGTATTAGTTAGTGAATTGTATTTCATAATCTGCACCCCCGCCAAAAACAAAAAAGATGGGATCGTGGCTCCACCCCTATTCATTGAGACTTCAATATGTAGCAGATCACTTAGAACCTTAATCTACCCAAAAGTGCTTAATAACAACGCTATGAAAAAGTCTTGTGATCATTCTCAACTCATCTATCCTTTATCCTCTAATTTTTGTTTATTGACTCCATGTATATGGACTTGTTTTACATAAGATAGTTTTTTGTTCCACTTACAACAGAAACACTAAAATGAATGAAACCCTTCGTTTAACAGTTGGAGGAAATTTAAACACCTGGAGTGGCAGAAGCATCTACACTCGTAAAAGACTTCATATTCAAACACTAACTCGATCATGATTACATCCATTCACAAGTATTTTAATGCAAAAAAATAATTTAAAACTTCGCCTAAAATTGAGGTTTATTAAGAGGATAATACATACTTTGTAAGGAAAGACCAAAGTCTTTATCATTCCAAAGATGTAAGAAAATATAAAGCCTTTGCTAAGTTTGAGCAGTTTGTCTGCCCAAAGAGAACAAACCTGTGATCAGAGAAGCTTATCCTGTAATCCCTTTTTGCATAATCTAATTCTTATAGTATGGTAAAAGAGCTGGAACAATGGAACTCATCCAATATTCTTTTCAGCAGAAACACTACTTCAACAATAAATAGAGAAAAAGTAAACGTCTCATGAATGGAAACAAAATAACATATGAATGAACTCTAAGGGCTTCTCTAATGATAACAATTACACCCATCTTCGAAATCGTTTTATAGGCACACATATGATTATGTTTTGTTTCATCAGCTACAACTTTTTTATTTTCCCTGCTTTTCTCAGAGACCAAAAAAGTATGTAAGTTCTTAATCTAACAAATGATTACAATCATTGCATGATAAATAACTGAATTCTGTAAAATAATGCAAATAATTGCATGATATAGACATATACGAATACACATTCTTTGCATCTGTTAGCATGTATGTATTTATGCAAGTGCATATATATAAATACTGTCTCCTAATGCTTTTCATCAAAAAGCTTCTGGTTGCATGATACAGACACATATGGATGCACGTTATTTGCATCTGTTAGCATGTATGCATGTGCATATATCAAATAAGAATTCCTTTTAAGAAGGGACATGAAAGAGTCTATATGGCCTGACTACAAATCTATGAGAGAGAGAGAGAGAGAGAGAGAGAGAGAGCACAAAGCGACCTAAACACTGGGTCTATACTGTAAGAACTACGATATTAGGAGCTAGCTCTTCAGTTAAGTCCATTCTCTTCATCATGATCTTAGCCTCAGCTTTTTCATAGATACTGATTCTAACACCAGACATTGCAACATATCTAACCACAAAAACGAAATACCTAGAACCCGAAATATTGTCAAACAAAAATCAAGAACCCAAAACATCACCTGTTGAATCCCACAATACAACCAACCCAAAAGTAATCTCAATTCTGCACCATAAAATGAAAAAGACCATAAAAAAATTAAGACATATATTGTCTTGTTTGACAACTCAACTTATAGGATAACTTCCGGAAAAAACTCAGTTGGTCGAATATTATTCTTCAAATACCATTGGCGTTCTAGAATTTTGTTAAGCCAAGGACATTTTGCATCCTTCTGCAAGTCTGAAATAAGGCCTCCCCTCATAAAATAGTTTTAGCTTCTGAAACTGCTATAATTAAGAATGTTAGCAAACTGAGAATAACTTCTTTAAACTCCCCTCAAATACTTGTACCCTCTTTTACAAACTTGATTTTCAACAATATATTTTCCCTTATCTGCTTCATGATACCTGTTCAGTAAAGCAAACTACACCAATCACTCTGTTTCTAGCTCAATGGAAGTATATACCACCACCAACCATGGGTCATAAATATTTCCACATGAATGGCATGCCACATAAATCTAGCCCTTATTATAGTGTGGATCACCCTCTGAGACGCACATAAGGCTCAACTGGTTAAATGGACAAACAAAGCAATAAATTACTTACTTGATTGAACACATTGACTTGACCGCTGCCATATACAGATATAGATATATAACACAAACCAAGACGAGAATTATAAGAATGAATCACAAATAACATAGAAATCATTAGAAAGCTCAATATTAGTACATGATAATTTATCTATTCATCTTTCAGGATGCAATGCCAAAAATAAATGAAAGAGTACCTGAGTGTGTTGTACTTGTCTGTGGTCGTAGCAGTCAGTGGTGGTTTAGGTGCAGGAGATGAAAGACAGGCGGGGGAATTGGAAGATTTTATGTGGGTAATTAGATAATTGAGAAAATGAATTAAACCATCTTTTTTGTTCAATAACAGTTTTTGTTTTGGGTAAGTCTTCTCTGCCTAGTTATTAAATGGGTCTGGACATCAACCCGGGAAAGGGACATGGATAATGGGCAACTGGGGTCAACTGGTCATACACAAAAATAGAAATTTATTATTGATAATAATAATTAATGCTACAAAATTCTAATAGTTATGTAAATAACACGCTTTATGTATGGTAGATCATATAAAAACACAGAAAATATCAAACTTGTACACAATACATTCAGAGTAAGACATTTTTACTGACCAAAAAATATAAGCATAAAAAAACCCAGAATTAAAGAACTTGGCCAATGCATTGGATTTTAGTTTCTATGCAAACAGAGCATCAAAATGGACATTTAATTAACGCATACGACCAACTCAAAATAAATACAAAAATGAGAATACTACCAGGCACCAGCTCAAAAATTATAACCAAGCGTATGTTCATTACCGGTACACTGGAGTTTTAACACCAAGATCAAGCACTCAGAATTCTGAAATATAGAGAGTATAAAGCTACAAAACACTGAATGAACAACACAAATGGGGTTGCACCTGAAACAAATGATGTTTCACGTTTAAAAATCGCAATTACCTGATGAAATGTAATGCCCTCCACAATGGGTACAACTTCAGTCAGATCCAATTGGCTAATTTTGTCATATTTTTGTGAATACGCTTTCAAATTTCACTACTGAAATCCACGGATAGCTATGATGAAACAGAGTCAAGGTATACATGTCATATCACGTTTTCATAGCAAGGGGAAGAAGTGCCATCGTGAAGTGAAAGATGAGTGAGAGAGATAAGAGAAATTACCTGGTGGCTGGTATCAGGCTGCGACGGCTAGTGAGAGAGACGGGTGGTATGGCCTCTGTGTGTGTGTGTGAGAGAGAGAGAGATCGAGAGCGAGAGAGAGAGAGGAGTGGAGGAGATCTGAAAGGCAGAGACGGAAGTGAAAATGACCCGAATGCCCGGCGGTTTTTTTAACCCATATGAAGTGGACGGTTCAGCGCAAAACAGACGGGTTGTCTAGATTAACGGTTCAAATGCAGCCCAGTCTGACCTGTGCATCGGTTTTCCGGGTATTCGGATTGGGCCGACCGGATTTAATGACACGGTTTTTTTTAACAAGATTCCTTCAAATTTTTCTTTTAAATCCGTTCTTAACTAATTATTAAATATTTATGAGTGAAAGTTTCACTTATACGCAATACTATTTAAATTAATAATAAGTGATGATTCACTAAGAAAAAACTAAAAAATAATAATTTGAGGGGATATCACATTTGCCTTGGTTAGGTTTGGGCATAACATAGGGTAAAAATAAAAAAATATAAAAGTATATTTCAATAACACCTCCTATATAACACGGGACTGGTAAGGGTAATTATGTAAAATTATGTACTCTGTTAATGTTGTTACCAAATAAAAACTGACAAGAGTGTACAATGATGGTTCAAAAACCAGATGAGATATCATTGAAATATCACTTAATTCAAGGGGTGTCATTAAAATTTATCCTTTTCGCACTTAAATATTTAATTTACCAATTTAATGATGTGTTTTTCATTATAACCATTGAATGTACAACAAATATCAATATTTAATAGAACCCATAATTAATCTAATGACTCTAATGAATCGGTAGACTTTTATAGCTAAAATGCAAAAAAAGACAAACTTATCTTACCAAAACATAAAACTAAAACAAAAGAATTTCAATGTTACAAATAGCACCCTTAATTTTCACTCTCTTTAAATTGAAGAGACAAACTTATCTTCTTACAATTTGATGCTTATAAATATGAATTCTTTATCAGAAAAATACAAATCCAACACCACCTTCAAGGATTGCATTGTATACTTATTGGAAGACCAAAACATTGATAATACACTACAAATATGACTGGCTTAGTTCCCAGCAGCACCTGCAGAATTTACCACCATGAAAAAAAGTGTCATTTTTTATAAGTAGATTAAATTAACTTTTATATCAATTTAACCTCTCAACAATGCAATTTGACTCAATGTCGTCCTTTCGTCTTTATTTATTGTTAACTTAAACAAAAAGTCTCATGTGCACATCATATGGTCTTAACTATCCTAATTTGTGATACATGCACGAGCCTTTTCGACAAAGTTAATTGCAAAATTAGACGGAATGACTATATTGGATCAGATTGCTAGTTATGGGACTAAACTGACATAAAAATTAATGTAGGAGCTTAATGGACACAAATGACACAGTTTAGAAGTCATTTGTGCAGTTAATTCTAAAATAAATATAAAAAGATCGGAAAAAAAAGCACATAAATCAAAGAAATCAGTGTGCAAATTTTAGTACCCTGTGGAGAGGACTTTTGGATTGCAGTTTTGAGCACCATCTCGTAGGCATCTTCAATGCATGCTTTCAACTTATGGGAGTTTATGAAACTCTTCTCCATTGCCATGGCAACCCAAAGCTTTCCCATATAACTCACCATTGTTATTGTTAGATCCTGCAAATCCAACAACTCCATGTTAGAAAAACAAACAACAAAATAAATTTTTCAGGAGGAATTTTAGCAACGAAAGACGAATTTTAATCTAATACATTTAATTTCAACCGCCAGTTTCATCTTTCATAGCCAATAAGTTTCGACCGATGCTTTTTAGCCACAAATTATATAGTTGTAACCAAAATTATATAACAGGAACCTAAGTGACAAAGCAAAAAAAAAAAAAAAAGGTAAGATAATTTACATGAGAAGGATGAAAGGCTGTGACCCTTGGCCACAGCCAACTCATCTTTCCAAGGATATTACCAACCAGAACACACACACACCCCCCCCCAAAAAAAAAAAAAACCACCACCACAATTAGCGAGCAAATCTTAGGCAAGGAAGAGGCAAAAAACTCAGCTCAACCATTGACAAGTTTCAACATTAACATATTTTGATAATAACGAAAGAGTATTCCACATGCTCACTTGCGCATGCACACGTATACATACCTGCGGACTTCCGACCACCGTGTAGTACATGCCACTAACAGGATGATTAGCCAAAGCCAATTTTTCCACTGGCCCGATCAGATTGGAAATCACTGTGCTCGTGTTCTTAAAAGAGTTATAAACGTACCAAGAGGCTGCCTACAACTCCAAGTTCAAAAAGAAAAAAAAAATTGCAGCTCAGTACACGAGACTTTTCTCGCTGAAATTCACTATGCACGATATATAATGTACAGTAAACAAATATTATCTACCTGTGGACCTCTTAGTCTTCTCAATGTCTCCAGGAACATGCTGGTGAGGTGAAAAGCAAAAGAGTTTCTTTTTCTCTTGATCAGTTGATGTGCTTTCCAAATGAAGTTGAGCGGGTCTGAAGATTCAGCAACAGTTAGGTTGGGTATAGGAATGTGCAGGAATGTGAGTTGGTTCCCCCACAACATCTTAGCATCAGGTTTGAGCATCTCACTTACTGACTTGTAACCACCAACAGCTCTGGTATTGAGCACCACCAATGCAGTAGAATCTGCTTCACCCGACGCATTGCTTGTTGATTGCATATATAATCGTGTTCCAAAGAATATTATTCCCGTAATCACGTCGTTAATCGTCTGTGAGAAATAAGTTAATATTTATATGAAAGTTGAAAGGATTGATAACCCTAGTATAAGGAATATAAAAGATTACCAAAAACCATGAAATCCAATCCTCATTTGTTAATGTTTCAATATGGTTTACCTAATGTCTGACAAAAGTTTCAAAAATAAATCAGAAACAAGAAAAATTTAGGATTGTGCCTGAAATATTTTTGAAATGTTCATTTCTGAGCTAACTGAAACTATGCAATGATACAAATTTCAATCATCGCTTAGCCCCTTAAAGGGTTTTTTCCCACTTTCATGGACAAAGACTTACATAGATCTGTTAAAAATTCTTCTAATCCCTCTAGACAAATATCTGACTGATCAGTCATCCAAAATCCCTGAGCATTTTTAAGAGTTGTAGGCCTATTCTTGTAAAAAAAAAAAAATTTTCATATTAAAGAAAGAGGGTTTATAGGATTTGAAAATATGATGCATAGAATTTAGTATATGCAGTTAATTATGGTATTCAAATCCCTAATAAAACATACCAAGCAAGTAATTATGTCCTAGAATTCTAAATTATAATACCACATGGGAAGTATCTAAGGGGCAATTAATCTATTGGAAATTCATTATTTATTGGTACATAAAAAGACTATAAGCGTACCGCCCAAAAGGATTTAGAATAATAAGAGTCTAATAAGATGTCTAGAATGTGTATTCTGATAGAACATGGAAGAGGTATGGGTTTTATTAGTTTGTTGACACTTATAAATAACTAGTCAATACATACGGGCGTTTCATGGGAATTATTTTATATTATAAATTTAATTTTGTATTTTATTATGAACCATTCAAACATCTATGACACTCGACAAAAACAAATTATGTCAAAAAATATTTTCATATTAAAGAAAAAAGATTTATAAGATTCCCATGTATATGATTTAGTATGTCATTAACATGAGATATTATGGTATTTCAATCCAATAAAACACAAAAGCAAGCATTTTGTTCAAGAAAATTTCTAGTTAATCTGAAATTTATTTGGAAAGGAATATCTATAGATATAGGTATAAATATAAATATAGAGATACTTATGGAAGATTACAAGGGTTCAAAAAGATTTAGGAGTAAGAATCTAATTATTGACAATATTGAGAAAATTAAAGTTTTTCTTAGTTGCTGATATTTATAAGTGAAAAAATAGATATAGATATACGTTTTCACCAATTTCCTAATAAAAATTAGGAAAAGCTTATGAGCAAACCTGGCCCTGGTCCCCCAAGTAAGGTGTCCCACAGTAATAGTCATGGGTGGGTGGGCTGCCCCATGGCGTAGGAGTCATTAGTCATTATTGGTAGCCATGGCTGCCAACTGCCTCCCATTTCCCCGGCCTGGCCCATTGACATCCCGTCCTGGCTGTACTAGTTTTAGTAAAAATTAGGATCGAATCTTATTAGATGAAATGATTTGAATTCGTGAAAGAAAATTTTTTGGGATAAGTTCATTTTTAATCTTATTAGTGAGTAGCTAAGTCCATTTTTTTTAATTTCAAAAATACTCTTAACAGTGTTAATTTTGGTCAATTATAGAAAGCTAAAGACATTAATTGCAAGAAGATATATATGGAAACCGGTGATTGAATATAAGAATGCTTGATTTACGACGGTAGATTACAAACTTTCCTTAATAATTCAAATTTAAATTATTAGTCATTATTTGTTATGTTATACATTAGAATAATAAGTTTTTGAGTTTTTGGAAGCATTGTGAAGGTGATAAAAATTGAAGCTGGAGTTTAATGTTTTTTTCAGTTGAAGTAATGAGTATGAGTTTGAGATTTTGAAGCTAGAGTTCGAGTTTGACTTACTATTTATTAGAGTTCAGGTTGATCTTGACTTCGTATATTGGAACAATTTTTTATTCAGATTGCTTGAGATATTCATTGTGATTAACTGCTACTACGAATAATAGTGTTATATTTGTGATTGTTGGAATTTCAATGTTATTTGTCAAAATTTCTATTGCGACGAATTTTACGATCCTCTGAAAGTTTGAGATTTTTGGGGGTAAATTGAAGGTGATGAAGGTTGAAGCTAGAATTTGAGATTTTGAAATCGGACTATAAGTCTAAGTTAGAGATTTTGAAGCTGAAGTATGATTTCGAGTTACTATTTGTTTGGCGCTTCTCAAGTTATTGATTAGAAATATCACGACCATCTAGTGTAATAAGTTATCAATCAAGTATTTATGTCTCATGGATCAAATTTGAATCATATTACTATTAATGTTACTGATGATATTATTATTTCTGTACTAATATAGATAGTAACCATTCGTGCAACAATATTACAAACTCACTGAAAAATGTAACATTAAAATAGACTTTCTTAAAACATGTGATTTCTTAAGTAGGAACAAATTTAAGTCATGTTACTGTTCATGTTATTTTTTGCACTGATAATTTGGATAGAGTTTCATCTATTTTTCAAACAAATATATACAAATAATACCTAACCTTGCATATAATAACATATCACTTCTACATATAACACCATATCAGCCTTCTAAAATCAAATGATTCACTAAATCGGAATATATTTGATTATATTACTATTTGAGTTATTATTTCATCACAGTAACATAAACGTTTTTCCACAATAACACAATGAAGCAATTTTCGATTGTTTTTTCCAATAACCGATCTACAAATGGGAAAACTACATCATTTAATTTAGTAACACTGAATCACACATTAAAATTAGGAAAACAAAAATCAATGAAAAATTTAAAATTTAGGATATGAATAAGATGTTTAGAATCCCTAGAATGAACAACAATTTTTTCAATAGATTTCACAGCAAATTGGAAAAGCAAATCGAATATGGTATTAACTGAATGGATTTAGTTTAAAATTTGAATTTGAACGATTTTTGAAAATTTTCAGTTACGTGTTTGTTGGAGAAGGAAATTTCGTGATAGGAAAAATCTTTGCCAGATTTGTAGGTGTTGCCAAATTTGAAGGCACTGATGTTGAAGGAGTTAATTGCTTCCATTTGTGAAAAGGTTTCCTTAAACGTAGTTTATTTCACTTCTAAAGGAAAATTATAGTTTGACAAAATTAACAAAAAATTGACTTCATAACAAATAAGTTTTCTTATCGTACTTATTTCCAAATAAGTCTATATAGAGGGACTGACTTCCAAATTTTTCCTAGTTTTAAAAGAAGACGAATGATATATAATGTAAGACCTTAGAGTCATATTTGGATGCTAGTAATCTTGATTGGAAATGAACATCTTATTTCCAAGAAAGTAATTCCTAGATTTTAAATGTCATTGGAATGTCATATCAAATATTTGGTCAACGTCAATAGTCTTGTATGAGATTTAAAAAATTAAGCTTATGTCTTCATATAGGAAGGAAACTCCAATACCTCTCCTAACCGTTGCATGCAACCTTTGCAAAAATACTGATTTCATCTAGGGTTGTACTACTGTTTTCTTTACGGGAAGGAAAAAAGAGACTCCACTTTTTTATCGTAACGTCTGTAGAAAGACTGCTTTGCAAAGATTCCTCAAAACCACTATCATCAAAATCATCCGTACAACAGCTCTGCCCTCTTTAGGCTAGGCTCCTCTGTTGCATCAACTGGATCCACTCCCATGTTACCTTCCTTTTTAAGGATTCCTATCATTTTGGGAATCAAAATCCCTCCTTTGGCTTTGTGTATTGAATGCCCACAGAAATGGGATTCTCATAGATTAGGGAATAAGATACTCATTCCCACTCAAGATTACCACCATCCAAACATGGCTTACATATTTTATGATTGTTCTTTTTTTAATCTTTGGTATCATAAGGAGATGAATAACATAATTGCTATGAAAAGAAAAAAACTATCAGGAACATTGCATGAGAAATTCAACAACAGAATTTATATATGTATATGTGTGTGGGTGGCATGGTAACAGCATAATCACACAGTATGCTACAGAAAAAGGGGATGAATTACCACATCATGATTGGCCTTAATTTGTTTGATATGATCAAGAGAGAATGTCATGGTAGCTATATTGGACGGCCGGAACTCAACTCCATCGTCTCCGGATCGAATTGGTGTCCGATCATCTTTCACAACACTGCTCTTCAAGATGCTCCATCCAAAATCAGATATAGTGTTAAACATGGCAGTTAAAAGTCTGGGCACACTCCTGAAAATGCTAACACTGTTTTGCCTCGATTTCGAGCTCGATTGACTTGAAGGGAATGTCAATGGAAGGGAAGGATTGTCAGCTCTTTGTAAACAAGAAAGAAGAGCTCCCATCAGAGAATAACCATCACCCAGAGCATGGTGAAGTTTGAATATTACATTCCCTGCTGCATTGCTTGTTGGGTGCTTGATTATATGAATTTCCCACAATGGTCTACTTTGTGGAAATTGATCCATGGCAATATTTGTTAAGTAGTCACTGAGGCACTTGTCATAAAATTCCAGTGACATTCCCGGGGGGAAACTGGGAACTCTAACATGGTCATTAAGATTTATTTCAACCCGCTTCCATTTTTTTTGGCCGTTGTCATTTGTAACCTGTTTTCACATTTTTAAATAATTTGTATCAATATAAAAGTGAAAAATGAAGTATAAAAAGTGGTATTCTTTAGTGAAATGCTAAGTTCAAAAAAACGGAGATCATCACATGCATCTCACATGATCACACTTGAGGTACATTTTTTAAAAATTTTCGATATTAAAGTGACACAAAAGGAAAACTTGAAAGACTAAAATAATACAAGTTGTAAATTTGNGGTATTCTTTAGTGAAATGCTAAGTTCAAAAAAACGGAGATCATCACATGCATCTCATATGATCACACTTGAGGTACATTTTTTAAAAATTTTCGATATTAAAGTGACACAAAAGGAAAACTTTAAAGACTAAAATAATACAAGTTATAAATTTAAAGGATCAAACTGACCCCTTAAGTGTGGTCACGTGAACATTTCAATTAGTCAATTCAAACAAACGTTTTTTATTAGACGAAAGTGATGGACATTAAGAAGTTAAGGAACCAAATCGTCACAATTCAAAGATTGGTTGACCACAGTGATACAAAACACCTACTTGAGGGACTATTAATGTAGTTTACCCAAAACATTACCAAACATTCAAAAGCAATGTTCTTGTGGGTGGCTACGTTAGAGATCTGATAGAAATGGGNGAAAGTGATGGACATTAAGAAGTTAAGGAACCAAATCGTCACAATTCAAAGATTGGTGGACCAGAGTGATACAAAACACATACTTGAGGGACTATTAATGTAGTTTACCCAAAACATTACCAAACATTCAAAAGCAATGTTCTTGTGGGTAGCTACGTTAGAGATCCGATAGAAATGGANTGTAGTTTACCCAAAACATTACCAAACATTCAAAAGCAATGTTCTTGTGGGTGGCTACGTTAGAGATCTGATAGAAATGGGGACGGCCAATTTGAAAATGTAGTTTTCATCTTTTGCTGGCCGAAGACACTCTGAAATGTACTTAACAGTGAGATCCAAGCAAAGGGATAGTTGTTCTTCATGTTAGGATAAAATGCTCGAGGAGAGAGAGATAGAGAGAGAGAGAGGATACCATGATGGAAGAGAAGCGTGGGTTGATGGGCAAGAAGACATTTTGTATCAAAGACATGGTCTGTGAGTCATCTAGCGGTACTTCAAATTCCAAAACAGCAAGAATAGAGAGAGATAACACCGAGCTGTTGAAGTATTGAGAAGTAGGACTCACAGGTTCTGACACTTCTTCAAACTCCATTGTGAATTGTTGGTTTGGTGGGGATGGGGGTGTGTTCTTCTTGTATATAACTTATGTTTCTTCTTGGTGACAAAGACACAGTTCCTTCCTTCCTTCACATGTTGGGTGTAAATGGTGGGTGAGTCCTTGAGACGACAATAACTGTTCAGTGAGGCAGCATTTATTTCGAAGAATTTTAAATATGATCATGTTATTTTCTTCTGCTTCAACAACTTGCCCTATATACAGCACATCTCTAAAGTTTACTTTGCAATAATGAATCCAAACACCACCTACTGGAACTGGAACAATACTTCTTTCTTACCAAATAAATTTGAGACACCTATCATACAGACAGAAAAAAACTAATTTACCCTTTATTCGCCGGTCAAAACTAAATGAATAAAACTGAACCCAAATCCAAACACAATCCTATGCCCATGACCCATTCCTAGCTAGACCCATGTCAAAACACATGTGCCATGCGCCCATAACAAACAGACTGTGAATCGTATTGAGAGACGTGAGTTCGTCTCGAATCTTAACGAATTTATGTTAAAAAATATTTTATTTATATCGGATTTATTTAAACACGAATCGTGTCATATTAAGNCATAACAAACAGACTGTGAATCGTATTGAGAGACGTGAGTTCGTCTCGAATCTTAACAAATTTATGTTAAAAAATATTTTATTTATATCGGATTTATTTAAACACGAATCGTGCCATATTAAGTTTTTTATCGTATATGAACTATAATATATAAACGAGTTGTCTCATGTTACATCCACTCATTTATTAAATAAGTGACTTAAAAAAGACTTAAATTCTTTAAATTTATGTCATGTTCGTGTCGAATTAACGATTCTCTTATATTTTGAGACACCCCCTACAACTGCCCTATCCCCACACAGCTATGGTGATTCTGTTTGACTTTTCTTACAGAGTCTTAAGCACCCTCAANTGTCGAATTAACGATTCTCTTATATTTTGAGACACCCCCTACAACTGCCCTATCCCCACACAGCTATGGTGATTCTGTTTGACTTTTCTTACAGAGTCTTGAGCACCCTCAACACAACTAGGGTTTCATCTTCAAACAGTAGCGGAGAAAGAGGAGGCGGTGGTGGTGATGGGGGTGGGTAATTTGAGCTTATAAACATAAGATTCATGAACTTATGGTTGGTTCTGGTGATCGAAATCGGTTTGAGCTTAAATTCTTTACCATCTTTCTGTAAAACTTGTGGTTGACAGACAACCACTTAAAAGACAGACACATCATCTAGTTGGGTTGGAACCCATATTATTAAATAAATTTGACACATCATCTTTTTTTTAATTTTCTCTTCCCAACTGTCCAACCTCCTTGTTCATTCATTCATCTCCTCTACTGTCGCCTATCAACGATACGACAGTACACCAACAGCCACCTGTTCATCCACAACCACTTCTTCATTCTCTCAAACTTAATTATTATGAATAATGATGTTACATAAATTTAAAAATATATTTAATAATCATAATTATTGAATCAATAAATTTCAATAAATATTAAAATTTACAGTAAAATCAATCATCGCAATTATTCCACTCTCATAAGCACGTCCCTCTCCATCAACTGGGTGATATTGTATAAGAGACAGAGCNGACAGACACATCATCTAGTTGGGTTGGAACCCATATTATTAAATAAATTTGACACATCATCTTTTTTTTAATTTTCTCTTCCCAACTGTCCAACCTCCTTGTTCATTCATTCATCTCCTCTACTGTCGCCTATCAACGATACGACAGTACACCAACAGCCACCTGTTCATCCACAACCACTTCTTCATTCTCTCAAACTTAATTATTATGAATAATGATGAATAATAATGTTACGTAAATTTAAAAATATATTTAATAATCATAATTATTGAATAAATAAATTTCAATAAATATTAAAATTTATAGTAAAATCAATCATCGCAATTATTCCACTCTCTCATAAGCACGTCCCTCTCCATCAACTGGGTGATATTGTATAAGAGACAGAGACAACAGTTTTTTTTTCTTCTCTTTTGTTCATCTGAGCTATGAAAGAACCGATTATGTAGGTATACCCGGTACACAAACACAAAGCTTCCGTCGCTGCAAAATCTAGAAAAAATTAGATATATTCAGTCTTATACATGTAAGCAAAGAGACTTTTTATGCGGATTAAGTAACAATAGGATTGTCTTAAATGAGATATTTTTTGAAAGGTATCAAACAAGATTGGGTCAAAAGGGAATGGAAATTGCCGGCCAGATGATGAGTTAAATGGAGAGATCAACTGGAGCAATTGGAGAGAGGGCGGAGGCAGTGTATGCAACGGTGGCGATGGCAGTTTTAGCTGCGGCAGTGGTGTTGTTGATAGGCTATGGGGGTGGGTAGTCGTTATGGCAGATTGGTGGTGTTTCTCAGACATCCGCTGTAAAAGATTAGGGATTGATCACAGAAGTATACATTTCAATCAACAATTTTTTTTTATATCAGGAATCAACAAGTTGATTATGGCTGATGTTCCAGTTTTTAAGTGATTGCCCGTTTTGTTTACAGATAATCCCTATAGAATCTAATTTTTTTTTTTTAAATTATTGTTATTATTAACACCGTTGGATAATAGATTTGAACCGATAACCTCTACTCCCTCTGGGGTTAATCATAATTTATAATTTGCAATTAGAACAATATGAAATAATTCATGTAGTTGAAAGAGTGATGTGAAAAAATTTAAAAATTCAAGAAACAAAATAAAATCTAAGTCTATAATTTAAGAAGTTGAAGTGAAATTTGCTCTTTTTAAACTAATCATCACAGTCTGTGGGGGGGAAAGTATTATCTATTTTTGTCTTTTTTTCATTATATTACTGTCGACTGGTATCAGTTATAAATGCGCTTTTACAATGGTGGAAGCAAGAGCTGCTCGTGTTGCTGAAGGCAATNAATGGCCCCTTTTGTCTCTAGATATGTGTTTCCTTTACAGTAGATGTGTTTGATTTCTCATCTACATTGGGTTGGCAACAAGTTCTTTAAAGTCTTCAATGGTGAAAAAAAATATTTTTTTATCATATTCATTCCCCTCAAATACTTATTTATCAAAATCAGTCATTTTTAAATTTATTTCTCAACTCCAATCATTTTTTATAAGATGTCATTCCAAATGATGTTTTCATCGACTTCATTTGAAATGACGTCTTCTAAAAAGTGATTGAATTTAAAAAATAAGTTTGAAAGTAATTGATTTTAGGAAATAAAGTTTTGAAGGGAATGAATATGATAAAAAGCTAGAAAACAACTAATGGTCCGACATACTTGTTCCTCAGAAAACATTTTTAAACTAATTCGAATTAGAGTAACTAATTTCAGAGCTTGAGAGATAAATGACANGGGTGATATTGTATAAGAGACAGAGCCAACAGTTTTTTTTTCTTCTCTTTTGTTCATCTGAGCTATGAAAGAACCGATTATGTAGGTATACCCGGTACACAAACACAAAGCTTCCGTCGCTGCAAAATCTAGAAAAAATTAGATATATTCAGTCTTATACATGTAAGCAAAGAGACTTTTTATGCGGATTAAGTAACAATAGGATTGTCTTAAATGAGATATTTTTTGAAAGGTATCAAACAAGATTGGGTCAAAAGGGAATGGAAATTACCGGCCAGATGATGAGTTAAATGGAGAGATCAACTGGAGCAATTGGAGAGAGGGCGGAGGCAGTGTATGCAACGGTGGCGATGGCAGTTTTAGCTGCGGCAGTGGTGTTGTTGATAGGCTATGGCGGTGGGTAGTCGTTATGGCAGATTGGTGGTGTTTCTCAGACATCCGCTGTAAAAGATTAGGGATTGATCACAGAAGTATACATTTCAATCAACAATTTTTTTTTTATATCAGGAATCAACAAGTTGATTATGACTGATGTTTCAGTTTTTAAGTGATTGCCCGTTTTGTTTACAGATAATCCCTATAGAATCTAATTTTTTTTTTTTAAATTATTGTTATTATTAACACCGTTGGATAATAGATTTGAACCGATAACCTCTACTCCCACTGGGGTTAATCATAATTTATAATTTGCAATTAGAACAATATGAAATAATTCATGTAGTTGAAAGAGTGATGTGAAAAAATTTAAAAATTCAAGAAACAAAATAAAATCTAAGTCTATAATTTAAGAAGTTGAAGTGAAATTTGCTCTTTTTAAACTAATCATCACAGTCTGTGGGGGGGAAAGTATTATCTATTTTTGTCTTTTTTTCATTATATTACTGTCGACTGGTATCAGTTATAAATGCGCTTTTACAATGGTGGAAGCAAGAGCTGCTCGTGTTGCTGAAGGCAATGAAGGACTTCTGGGGAAGGTAAGTGCCCATAGAATGAGAATATCAACCAGAACTATATAATTGGAGTTCAAAATTTTAAGCATGTACATACAAAATTTAAAAGGCCAAATTAAACTCCAATTTAAAATTTTAATTGAGCACAAATCTGTCTCGCAACCCCACTTAGTTTTTTTTTTTTGGTTCAACCGATAGGCTTGTTCAAATCAATTTACGTGTTCGATAGGAGTAAGATAGACCTAACCCTAAAGCATTGTTAAAATTTAATTTTAGAATTTCTAAATTTATAGCTCTATGTCAATATTTATGCAAATCCTTAGGGCTATAACCCACTTAATTGAAGTATTGATTACACCGACGTGAAGTTTTTAAGTCGGTGAAGGTAGACAAAGTTGTGAATCAACGCAATTAAAGCCTTGGTACGGAGGCAGCAATTCATAGCAAGAGTTACCAATTGGGACACCCACTCTCCAAAGAAATCAATACGATTACCTAACCATTATGGCAATTAAGTGGCATTCAACCACGTATATCTCTTTCTTTCTTGTTTGGTTTCATGGGGGCCAAATGGCTTAAAATCTAAGAGGAAAGCAGAGAAATTGGTTCATTTTCTCTTGGGATTTCTTCTGAATCATGGCTATTTCCATATGGCAATGGCCCCTTTTGTCTCTAGATATGTGTTTCCTTTACAGTAGATGT